CAGACAGTTTGCAGAATTTTTTGATTTTTCGAAAACTTTGAAAAATTCTAAAAAAAATTGTTTTCCCTACCCGATCACTAACATAACTATTCTCTAACGTAAGTGGTCTGCCACACCTGGTCTCTACCAGACTGTCTGCCTCTACCAGTCTCTGCTAATCTCGGTCTGTGGCTCACCCGGCTCTGCTTGACACGGTTTGTGCTTCACCCGGTCTGTGCCTCAGTGTATGTGCTTGACTCGGTCTCTGCTTCACCCGGTCTCTGCCTCATGGTTTCTGCTCGACTCAGTCTGTGCCTCACCAGGTGTCTATCCAACCAGGTCTTTGCAAAGACGGCTAGGTTATTATGAGTTGAAGCAGCATAAGTCATCATTTGACAAAGGATGTTCAAAACTACTAAATCAAAGGAAATTAACCAAATTGCAATGGTTTCAGGATCCAAGGCAAACAAATAGAGATAATCTGAACAGATATATGACGCAAAGCTAGTAGAAATTTCAGGAACAAAAAGAGCAAATATCTGAAATACAAAATCAATGAGCTTCCAACACAGTAAGACAAGAACTTTAGAGACTTAAACAAAGGTATAAATGAATTAAAGAAGGGTTATGATCCGAAAAGTAACTTTGTAAAGGATAAGAATGGTGATCTGCTGGCAGAATTTCACAATACTTTGAACAGGCTGAAGAATCACTCCTCTCAGCTATTGAATGTACATAGGGTTAGTGATGTAAGGCAGATGGAAGTACATACAGCTGAACCATTAGCAACTGTGCCTAGTCCTTTTGAGGTTGAAATTGTTATTGCAAAGTTGAAAAGGTATAAATTGCCAGGTAGTGACCAAATTAAAGCAGAACTGATACATTAATTTATTTTATTTATTGTTTATTTAACGACTCTTTTTCAGTAGCTCAGACTATATAGTGTCAAATGAGAGGATGATAGTGACTTTGAAAGGATGTGGAAGGAAGCGATCATGGCCAAGTTTGAAGAATATCCTGCAGAATAGAGTAAGTAAATGACCAACTGTGATGTTTTGATGATTAATAAGACAAATTTCTCTCACATGTACACTGTAATAATGCCAAAAATATACTTCACCCCATAAGTAATGTGGGCCTGAAAATAAATGTAAGTGAATGAAACATATATCAACCAAATATAAGTGTGGTAAATGATGAAATCTAACAAAAATTTGTCAAAGAACCCAAAAGATGCATAAAACATCACCAATGCCAAGAAGTAAAATGGCCGTTCAGATTAATCAAACTGAGTACTAAAGTTGCATGACAAAATGCTGTTTAAACTACCATATCATATACAATCAAACCAGTTAGTTTTGGCACAGTTACTTGCCAGAAAATGACAGTACAGTCTTTTAAGGACCCTGAAGTTTCATTATTGTGCTCAAAGAAGGCTGTCTGTGGCCACAAATCACATCATCACACACCTTTCTCTAAAATCAATTTGAACATTACACTCCACTTTATGACTGAATTTTCAAGTGGCTTCATTCAGGATTTCCAATTAATCTTCAATTTGCTTCACTCCCATTCAAGTTACATGCCTGGCCCATTGCATTTGCCTTGATTTTATGGCTCTAATACCATCTAGTGAAACACATATTGTTATGAATCAAGTGTGGTGAGCTAGAATAACTCCACCACTACCACCTGTCTGTTATGCACAGTGGGAGTAGGAATCGGGGTTGATCCCACTACCACATACACTTGTAAACATGCATTCTTTTCCTACTGCTGCTCTACATTTATAACAATCCCACCACTGCTAACAATTGTTCGCCTGTACTATATTTCACAACTGGTGCCAACAGTTTCCCATGGGTGGTAGTAGTAGTGGTAGTAACAGTAACAGTAGATGTAGTAGTAGTACCAGCACATTTACTTTTCCACATATATATAAATGACCTGCCAGCAACTATAAACTCTATTTCCAAACCTATTCTTTTTGCTGATGATACAAGTATCATTATTGCACACCAAGAATTGATCTATCTTGAAAATATCATGAATGATGTCTTTGCCAACATAAACAAATGGTTTAG